CCGGTCAGTTTGACATACCTACTTTTTGTCGAATTCCCCACGCGTATAGTGAATTCCAAATATTTCGAGTTGCCCAACACCTTTCGAAGTGAACGAACAGTTTTGAAAGTCACTTTTATGTTGATTTTTCGAAAAGTTGCCAAAACACACCAACGGATTATGGTGTGTTTTGGCTGAAATGAAAGAACTTGCTTTATGAGACTTCTTCTGGAAAGTGAGAATTTACAACGGCAGTCTCGAATTTGATTTACCTTGTCGTCTACGTTTGAGAAGAATACCCGTTCCTTTCAGCTATTTTCTTGACAATTTTTTTTATGCCGTACCTTTGTTTGCTTAAGGGGAAAGTGACCAGAGTATGGACAAGAAACTGTAGCCCAAACATTTTTTGTTATTTTCTTATATGGCATTGATCGGTCAAGTGATATAATATTTAAATTGAGAGATATCGGAGTTAGAATATATCATATAAATTATGCCCTAAAAAAAAAACGCCGGCCGCCACTGGTGGCCATAAACCAATTGTGACGTAGCTAAGAGCGCGCGAATGTACGATGTTCGCTGCCGCTCTAGATGTAGCGAGAATAATACTACCGACTTCGATGGAATTCCGGAAATTTTTCTGCCGCATTTGATTTCGATATATAAACGCTAGCCACAAGCGTATCGAGACAGTGAAGTGGAAGTTACAGTGCGGTACGCGACGCGATCTAGTAAGGCGATAGACATTCGAATAATAGTTGAAGTTTTAGTTGAAGTGCTTTCTGTATTTAAAGTGAAGTAAAGTTGAGTTCGATTATTCAGTGTAGCCATTCATTGGTCAAGCCACGGGGAAAACGTAACAATATGTTTTATAAAATATTGATCGGTCAAGTAAATTGATAGATATCGGAGTTAGAATATGGCATAAAAAAAATATTTTTTTTGAATAATTTTCAACATTTATTAACTTTTTAGCAAATTTCATGAATTGAAAGCAATTATTCATTGAAAGGTTAGGTTACACACATTGATGACGCATGTGTAGATCTTACACATGATCGTACTTCATAGAAAGATAATGAAATGAAACAACGGCTTTCTTGAACTGCTGGTACAGGTGTCCTTCAAGGATGTATAGTGGGCCCAACTTAAAAAAAAACTGAATTCACTTGCCTACTAGCTGACGATAGATACCCTGTTGGCTAATTACAAAGTGCAAGAAAGATTGTGAAGATTTTAAAACTATCTACATTTGTATGAATCACTGGCAAACGTTAAAATAAAATGAAACTCGTCGAGAGAGGTTTTGCACTCTTGGAGTAAGGAAGAAGTGTTTTTCTTGAATTCATTCAATGGCAGTTCAGTGTGATAAAGATACAGAAACAAACAAACCATTTAATTTCCTCTAAACAATTCTACTAAGTGTTATTCATGATTTCCATTATTTTCTTACGAACTTCATGAATAATTCACCAATACGACTAATTCGTATGAATGAACGTCGTCCAGAGGAAATGATCGATCGGGTTATATAAATAACGTGACTTAATCGAATTATAAATAGATCGATCGTCGTCTCTTGAATATTAAATAGAAATGACATGCAGACTGTAATGCAACGCCTGGGTTGTGTTTGTACCTGAGACTGGATCTAAGTGGGTCATTGTGATCAAATCAACCGCGACCGACTACGAGACAAGATGAAAGAGTTGGTATCAGTTGGAAGTGATTTTAATAGCTTTCATGTAGTATTTTTATTATTGACACTAAAGTGGTTTCACTTTGGAAAAGTCGCGATGCTACCAATGGAAAAGTAGGCTAATAACCTCTGAAAGAGGTCCTCAGGTAGTTACTACACACATCGGCAAAATTCTTGGACCCCCTAGTAAATTGTAAAACAAAATGTTTATCATGGCTGGTGTTTTGTACATTTCATCTTTAATTCTTTCACCTGTGCTAAAATGTTTACAAAAACAATTTCCTCTAATTTTAAAATCTGTTTAAATCTGTTTTTCAGTTAACCAGCTGTCGCACCCCTACGAACGACTGAGGGTTGTCGTTCTAAGTCGAAACTAAGCTAAGGAATAACGGGGTCTTACCTTTTAACGTGTGATTCCTAATGCGGAATAGGATACCAATGTTTCAAAAGTGGTTCATATCTACGTAGGGCGGCTTTGCATGATGATGGTCTGCCGAGTCATCAAATTGCGGATAGACTAAGGATTCCTCGCGCTTCAGTTACCCGAATAGTGCATTTGTACCAAGAAACTAACAGCGTTGACTGGAGACGTGGAACTGGTCGTCCTAGGGTACCTAATGCAAGCGAATATCGGTATATAGCAGGATATGTACGTCGTAATCGAACCATAACAGTCTCAGCAGTCCGAACTCATTTAAGAAGAACGTTTTGGTTGATTAATTTCCAGTACCACAATACGGCGGAGACTTGCTAAAGCCAATTTGCAATCCAGGAGGCCACTTAGAGTACCCCTAGACACATAGCCGCTCGTCTACAGTGGGCACAGCAACACAGAGACTGGCTTTTATCTCGGTGGCGAAATTTTCTTTTTTCGGACGAAACCAGATTTAGTTTAGTTAGTGATAGTCGGCGACACAGAGTTGGGAGAGGGCCAGGTCGACAAGAAAGACTATATTTTGCTAGGGAAGTCGTTCCATACCAAGGAGGATCAGTTATGTTTTGGGAAGGCATAATGCATGGTCGTCGTTCGCAGCTTATTCCCATTCCAGATACTATGACAGGGAAAAAATATGTTCAAAACTTTGGTGCCAGTTTCATTTTCATGGATGACAATGCTAGGCCTCATCGCACGAGAAGAGTACAAAATGCACTAGAGATTGAGAATATTCAAAGATTACCGTGGCCAGCAAATTCACCAGACATGAATTCCATTGAGCACATGTGGGATTTTGTTAAACGAGCAATCTCAAACAGAATTATTCCTCCTAGTACCCTCCCGGAACTCACACTCGCGGCCCAAAAAGAATAGAACAACATCCCAATGGAACCATTAACGCCCTTATTGTTTCCATGCACTGGCGAGTTAACACCTTACTACAGAACAGGGGAGCACACACCGAATGTTAATGCATTTTTGATTTCGATCTGAAATGGGTTTCTTCTACATTTCAGATTCTGGTAATCATTTTATCATTCACTATTTTTCGTCTGTATTTTTTTCTTGTCCAGTTAAAATTAAATTCAGCCAATTTGCATTGGTTACATAACCAAATTAAATGTACTTTGTAATACACTTCTTGTCTCATTTAGCCTAACAGGGGGCCCAAGAATTTTGGCGATGTGTGTATTTACTACAAATAAAGAATCAGTTTGCTACGGAGGTTGCCTCATGTTATTATTAACAAGCATCAGGTTGCGCTGCATAAATGTTTGGAATGCCGATATGATTTATCGCCCAACAATTTTTTTTTTGTGGAATGAAACAGTGGACAGCGATTTTTTTCACCTCAGGTGGATGTGGAAGCTTTCCAAAACGATTTTCAGAGTGGCAAAAATGAACCGAAAATTGACCCTAGATATTCTACTTTAAAAAAGGAAAATTATCTTTATAAATCAAAAATTAAGGCAAAATATAAATTATAGTTCAATACCACCTCCACAAGCCACATAAACAACAGTTGTTTTGTTATTTATTTATATAGAGGAAGATAGGTTAGGTGCACAAAATATCATATGGCACAGAATGTCTCGGAACTCGGAACATGAGTAAACAGAACAGCACGCCTCTGAAATATGTCATCTTTGTTTGTCTCATACAGGTAACAGATTCATTGTCCTAATAAGCTATAACCGATGTTGCCAAATGGTGAAATAGAAACGAATCCCTTTAAATGTTGAATGCATTATTTCGTTTCTCTTTTTTAAGTATTCAAATGATTTTTTTAAAGAAAAAAGTTGAAATGATAAATTTAAAATGCGTTGTTTTAGAGCTCTTTTATGAAAACTACTTGATTTTTGTCAGGAGGAACATTCCCCATTCACACCGTTTCTGCTTTGATCTTGAGCACGAATGAAACTTTGTGATTTTTCAAGATCCAGATACATATTTATTGATATAAACTTATTCCTTCTTGTGAGAGGGGAGGAAGAAGGGGTCTAAAATAAAAATTAGAAAGTGTTTTCAGCCAACTAATATGTTTCTTGAAAAAAAATGAAATTAAAACAATGTCATTTTGACAAAAGTGATTTGATACCAGGGGAAATATCACCAGATATTCATACGTTATGAATGATCTGTATATTATGTGGACTATTAATTGCTAAGTAACGTATGTGATGTGTGACAGTTATTAAGATTAATTTTTATTTCCACTGTAAGGTGAAAAAACATAGATTTGTTTATTTGGAAAATAACTCGTAGGGTGTGTATTTTGAAAATAATATGTGGAATTTAATTTATCTACAATTCGCATTTTAATAACATAAAGTCAGATTACAGACACAAAAAAATCTAAAATAGCTGATTTGATGAAAAATATCAACTTTTATGTTAGTTGGAAAAAGAAATAGTAAAAAAATTGTTCATATCAATAATTTTATGACTTCATCACAAAGTTATCGACGTAGAAAAACGCTTGACAGCTAAAAGTCGAGGAAAGATAAGCACCTTTTTTTGGTGTCATCGGCTTCGACTGCATTGGTCATTAGCCCCGTGTCCTGGTTAGGTAATGTTAATAACTCCCCGAGCCACCTAGGAAGAATCATGACTATTCGCACTCCGTCTGCCATGTAACGTTCCAGAATCATCCCAATTTCAGCTAGATGAATTCTCTCGAATTTACTTCTGAATATAATATTTTTTTGTGATTTCATAGAATCTAAAAGCACAAATGATTCTATGTTCTCACTTCTAGAGGAAATATCTCAAAATAAATAGGGGTGAGGCAGTAGCAGCAGTGTTTTGTGACTTTTTTTACCCCTAAAATGATGAATTGTTCATATTAATTTATATAAACTAACCTCTTTGTTTTTTTTTTTTCAGATAACCAGCTTGGCTGGTCACCGACAAGATGACGACAGACATCAGTATAGTGAGGTGGGATCCCACCTTACAGCAAGAAATAGTTGATGATTACGAATATGATGGTGGCAATTCATCATCGAGGCTTTTTGAAAGATCTCGGATAAAAGCTCTAGCCGGTAAGTGAATAATGTTAAAAACTTGCCCAAAAAGATGTGTTTGGTAATTGATGTTCCGTGTTGTATAATTAACAGTGTAGATATACTGCTCCAAAACTATTTTCCGGGTTTTTTGACTGTGGTCAGCAGGTTTTAATGATTGACGTTTCGTCTACTACTGCGGTAGATATCAAAGGCAATTCGAAGCGGTACCGAAACTGGAATTTGTCTCTAGTTTTATATTATCATATTATGTGGACTCGGGACACTTTGTCAAAAAGACTAGAGTTATGAACTTAGGTACTGTTTCCAGTGGGATGGTATTTTTTTCATGAACAAATAGATTGTACCGCAATGGGCAGCCCATCAAGTCCAGCGGTGGCAAACTTTTTCACGGAAAATTTTGCACAACGGGTCTTTTATCAACGGATCTTTCACCACACCTGAATGTTCTTGCAAAATCGAATGTAGTCTGTGATATGCCAAGGGACGCATTTATCTCGCGGTATATGCCATATGCAGATTTTCTTGCCCAAAGTATCGATGCTTTGTGGAATCGCAACCATTCATGTTTCCGGCGATTTTCATTTTTTTACGATATTCATTTTTGAAAGTCACTGTCAAGTAACTATCCCTCCGGTTTCTGAACTACCGCGGATACTATTGTTGTAAACGGTGAATCATGCGAATATAAAAGGCGACCCTCTTTATCATTTTCTTTGGAAACCACCCTAATTGACGAAACGTTATATATTCTGTTTTGCCCAAAAACAATAGTGTAACGATGCCCCAGCCTCCATATTCGCCAGATATGGACCCATGTGACTTTTCCTATTTCCGAAAATAAAAAGAACCTCAAAGGACCATCGTTTCACAAACGTAGATGACATTGAAAGCGCATCGCTGAAAGAGTTAAAGGCTTTCTCAAAGATCAAGTTTGAGAAGTGTTTCGAAGATTGGAAGCACAAGTGTATAATATCTAATGAGGACTATTTTGAAGGCGACAACATTGATATAGACGAATAAATATTGTTTTCGAAAACGAAAATTCTGTATATTTTCTTAATATACCTCGTATAACGATTTTTTTGCAATAGTAAAATTCCAAATCGGGTCGAAATATCAAATGGAACGACCATTAAACGCGTCTTTTGAGGTGCGACTGACCGCATTGGAAATCGATCGAGCCTTGATTCAGTTCGCCTGTAATTGGCAAATCGCGTTGCAATGTTCAATTGCAATTTGCAACGTTGCATGCACGGACGAAATAATATTGAACTTGAAGAAAAAGGCCGTATTACTGCAATAGTCGTGGAACTTGTTTTATTTGTGTGGCGCCCAATAGCAAAAAGGGCATTTTCCTGGAGATTTACTTTGAAGTCGATCGAAAGACTAGGAGTTGAATAGTAGTAAAAAATAGTGTAATAAAATAATAATTTGTGTCTTATCGAATTCATTAATCTACCTTGACATTATTTACGACGATATACGAGGTATGTTCAAAAAATAACGGTAATTTCTTTTTTTTTAAATATCGATATATTCGTCTACATTAATGTTGTCATCTTCAAACTAATGAAACTTGTGCCAGCATTTTTTCCAACCCCCGAAAAATTTCTCAAATTCGATCTTTGCCTTCAGCTTCTTCAGCGATGCGCTTTTAATGTCATCTATGCTTGTGAAACGACGATCCTTTGAGGTTCTCTTTAGTTTTGGAAATAAGAAAAAGTCACATGTAGCCATGTCTTTCCAACATGGAGGCAACAACATCGTTATAGTATTGTTCTTGGCCAAAAATTCACGAACAAGCAATAAAGTGTGAGCGGGTTAATTATCGTGATGCAAAAACCATCAATTGTTTTTCCATAAATCCAGGCGTTTTTTCGGATTCCTCCACGCAAATCATCAGTGACTTCTTTGATTGCTCTACCTAGGGCTACGGTTGCGATGTAGAAAATCCACTACAATGTGTGCTGCACGGGGCCGCTCATGACCACCAAACCGCGATAAGGCCGAAGCCACTATGTTGGATTTACTCCCGCATGGGGCTAGTCAATACACCCAAAAATAATCGTGTAAAATCGAAAATGGGCTGCCAGCTGAAATGTCTGGAGATGCGATCATTCATCTTTCATTTTTGCTTTTGTCTCCGATGACATCTGTATTCTTCACAACCTCGGTGCTGGACGTTAAAAGACACTTTTTTTTCTGCTTTATCATCCTCGTCGAACGCTTTATATATCTCTTAGTAAGTCATATCTGTTTAAAATCTGTTTTTCCGTTAATCAGCTGTCGCCCCCATACGAACGACAACTCTCAGAAGTTGAGAAACTTGTGCGAGCTAAGGACTAACGGGGTCTTACCTTTTAACGTGTGGTTCCTAACACGGTTGCAGAATCATCCCAGCTTCAACCAGACGAATTCTCTCGAGAAAAATATCTGGTCGAGGCAGGAATCGAACCCACGGTCTTCCGATCGTGAGTCGGGCGCACTACCACCGCGGCCAATTCCACATATGATTGATAATATCTGTTTAAAAATCTCAGATATTTATTACGTATTCGTAATTTTTTCTCTTCATTTTTCATTTCAAATGAAGATAAAACTGGAACCTCTGGCATAGAATAAATCTGAAACTAGCACTTTTCCCAATCACCAGAAATGCAATACTCTTTTCGATGCATGTTTCACCAACCGAGTTGGTGACAGTTCTTGTGACAAGATATAGCAAGACAAAAAAATTACAAGTTTACTTCAAGCATTTTTTTGAAGTCCGGTCTACCGGAATAAAGTCGCCTTCTGGAAAAAAAGGGACTGATTTTCACCCACATTGGAAGTGTTGATGATTTTGACTGGTGGTTTATTGATGTTTGACTCAAAGCGATATGTTTGAAGAATGTTTTGAGCAAATGTTAGACCTCATTTCACCTAACTCGTTTTATACCTGCCACCGCATGTATAGCGGACCTGTTAAAGCATTTCAAACCCGCCTATACTGTTCAAAATCTATTTTTTCGTTAACTAGCTGTCGCTCCTCTTCAGAAATCGCAACTTGTACGAGCTAAGGAACCAGGTCTTACGATAGCAAGTGAAAATCGATCGTTTAGTAGTCTGCTGCTTGAACCACCGACTCACACATCGGCCGATTGACTGAGTGAAGCACCCACGTCGGACTTCTCGGCTACCGACCGCTTACATTGCAAACGCTGTACATACTAGCTGTGACAAATCAGAAACAACGAAATCATGAAACTTTGTTTGAGCACTCTGTTGAAATTCTGCATTCATAATGAGCATTTATTACTATAAGGAAACAGTATAACTGTTGCTTTTTATCAAAAACAAATAATTCGTGTAATTCTCTTATAGCAAAAAAATCATTTTGATATTATGGAAGCCTTTCATTAATTGCTTCCTATCATTAAACGTCCAATTTCCAATTTGCTTTGACGGCCGTTGTGGTTTGTGGCTTATTCGTATACATCTGCGACTTGCAACCTCTGCTGCAGGCAGCCAGTGATGCAATTAAACCCAGGTTTGTGTTTAATAAACCCTACAAAATACAAATAAAACAGAACACAGTCAGTGTACTGTATACATATATGCAATACGCATATATGTATACAGACGGCTCAAAAACCAAAGAAGGCTCAGTTTTGTGGATTTTACTCCAGAGCACTAAGCCACAAAAGAAATAACCAGGAAAGGAATTTCTGGCAAAAACATAATCTGCACTAATAGCAGACAATCCCTATTAGCCTTGAACAGACAACGTGTTACCTCAGGGCTAGTACTAGAATGCCACCAAGATTTAGGCAAAGCCTCGATAGATAATAAAATTATCCTGAGGTGAGTTGAAGGGCACGACAGGAGTAAAGGTAATCGCATTGCCTACTCTTCAGCCAAGGAAGCGGCTGGACTAAGAATTTTAGGACCCAGTGGCACCTACGGCCTGATGACTTCGACAATTGCGGAACTAGCCAAATGTTACACCCATGCTCAATCCCTAAAGAGATGGGGTGGAATGTTCATCCATTATCATCAAATCAGTATAATAACACAAAACCTTTTGCATATAGGATTGGCGTAATGAATCCGGATTTGATTAATGCAAATACCCAGTTGAACTGATCAACAATTTAGTGGATGTCTAAAGATTTAGGTTTATAAGATGTGTTCCATTCAACAATGTAGTTTCACAAAATATTTCAGTTGATATATAATTCTAATAATGCTAGTTTTATTAAAAGATCAAAGGGCACGACAGGAGTAAAGGTAATCGCATTGCCGACTCCAGCCAAGGAAGCGGCTGGACTAAGAATTTTAGGACCCAGTGGCGCCAACGGCCTGATGACTTTGACAATTGAGGAACTAGCCAAACGTTACACAAATGCTCAATCCCTAAAGAGATGGGATGAAATCAAAGAATACCATCTTGCCAGGATCACCCTGGGTGACCCTGGGAAGCTGGCGCCGAAGAAATATCTGGCGATGACCAGGAAAAATCTACGCTTAACAGTAGGATTTCTGTCTGGTCACTGTCAACTAAGGAAACACCTCCATAATATGGTGCTAGTGGACACGCCTCTATGCAGGATGTGTGAACAGGAAGATGAAACTGTCAGGCATAATCTATGCGAATTTTCGGAGTTATCGTCAATTAGAGAGTTTGTGTTCGGCGAGTCTTGGCCTATACCTGCCGATATAAAGGAGATGTCTCCTAGTGACCTGCTCACCTTCCTGGAAAGGACAGGATGGACGTTAACCTAGAAGGACAACTCCTCGGAAGGGTGAATAGTGGTTCACCATGTGGCCTAAGTAATGTGGCCTAAGTACACTCACCCTCCCTACTCTACTGATACAGATATTCACCTGCGACTTGAGAAAACCCCACGAGATGCATTGGACGTTCTTGGATCTCATGCGGATGGGTAACGTCCCATATTCGACAACTTTGTTTGTTCACGTACCATTTTCATCCAGAAATGGGTCTCACCGCTGAAGATGATTTTTCGATGATGGCCGATGGTCGATGATGGTCGACCGACAAAATGCAACTGACCCAGTTCCTGGGTCAACTGTACGGGTGCAAGCCCAAGTCACGACGCAATTTCGCCAAATTGTAATCTGCCAAAGACCGAATTCTTGTGAGCGACGCGAAATCGACTGCCTCGGATTCTCCTGCACACTCTCACAGACACCGGCAATGTTTTCGGCAGATCTTGCGTTTCGTCGACGTACGGGTTTTGGTCGATCGTTAACTGAACCAGTGGACTCAAATTTATCCACCACATTGCGAAAAGTCCTCTTGGTAGGACTATTATGGCGAGCGTAAAATGTGCGAAGCGCGTAGTATGTTGTCCGAAAAGAACGCCCATTTTGATAAAATAATTTTATTATTTCCACGTGTTGATATGCTATATCCGTCCATGGTGACAGAAGACAGAATAAATAAATGACAACTAATTTGACAGATGTAGCAACAAGATGGCCGTTATCAATTGTCAAAGTTTGGAAGGCCCTCTATTTATGATAATTTGTGGAGTGTAGTCTTTTTTGCCTCATTTCAGTATCTACCATGATCCGTCGCATTTCTTATCTACTAAATGTTTTGCTAAAACTTATCTTCGCATCAACTAATCTCTTCGAAATGTTAAATATGTCCCTTAATTATTATACTCTTCAGCAACGATAAACTAATTTATTTATTTTATGTTTAATCCGTTATCTGCACTTATCAAAACCGAAACCAAGTTTCCTGCCTACGTTTCTCTGTAGTTATGATTGGGACTTAGTTTTATTGCAAGTTGTGAGTGCCGTGGTTCTTGATCTACGCGAAATGGATATCGAGGAAATCGAACACAGATATTATGACAAATTCGTCCAGGAATTAAGAGGTACATTTTTAGAGTACTTAGTTGTTTTATGTTTGTTCAATATTTTTTGGATCTCTCCGTTTTTTTGTGCGATTGGGAGTTTCGTATATCAGGTGATGATCGAAAAGTGTCCCCGCCCTTCTCAAGTGATAATTTCAAGAAGTATATACGGAGTGTTTCAATGTTAAGGTGATCATTTAAGAAGGACAAGTTTTTGATTTTTCGTTTCATGGATATGTTGCTACCATTCCTTTAGAGAATAGAAGAATAGTTGATGCTGAGGAGTATACATCAATTATATTTTAACGAGAAGTATGTTAGTGGAAAATGGATTATATCCCATGGAATCAAATCATTATTTCTTGGAAAAAGAAGAGAAATGTTGTAAAAGGCATGTTGCCTTGCCATGTTCACCGTTACCATGTTACATGAATCATTACAGGAATTGTGTAATCTAACATTGTTTTGGAGATTTCTTTGAAGATATATTCAACGATGGATAATAGACAAAACTGATAGTCTGGTTCACATGTACTCGATTTAGCTCTTTTTGGTGATACTGTTCAGCCCTGTCCAAAAATTACGACCAAGGTGTCATTCGATTCGTATTTTTGCCTAGAAAGTTTAGGGGAAGGTCCGAAAACGCGCCGATAAAAATTACAAAAGTTATAACAATTAAGTGAAAAAAATGGGGCTTTAGTTTTTTCTTAATATTTCGGAAAATTTTCAAAATTTTGGAAATTTGAAAAAAGATTTGAAAAGATCAATGAATTTGCGTAAAAAAAGTCCCGACTCCCGAAACTGTATCTCGATTATTTATAATTTTTACAGAGCCCTGAAAATAGAGCCAAAAGCGGGTAGTCTGGCTTCCGCGC